CAAGACGGCCTGAGCATCCAGCGGGTGTTCTCGGTGTTCGGCTGCAAAAGCTCGATTTCAGTTACTCCATTATTCCATTCCTAATAAAAAAACTGCCATGTTACGGGCAAAAAGTATTCCTGGAGTGTGCAGAAAGGCTCCTGGCTACAGCCCCACGGACACTGAAAGACCAGCGCAGGGTGCACATCCTTTCAGCCAACGAGGACAGCTTCTGGTGGAGAAGGTAGTGCTTAAGGGGCAGTTTTCTCCGTAACGGAGGAGTCAGAGGCAAAATATACATTTGATATAGTTAAAAACTTGTATCTTGGCTTACTTACATAGCATATGGCACGTCTGTTTAAGCATGATAAGTGTCTGTTCCTTGTTTTATCTCACACAGTCGCAGCAGGAAATACGCTCTGTAAGACTAAAACATCCAACGCTATTGTGGTAATACTGTTTTTCCTCAATTTCAGGAAGCTTTGTGCAAGAGTGAAAGAGCTCGAGTTACGGAAAAGCAGAAACATGCTCCCGTGTGGACGCTCAGGAAGAGCCCACCACCTGACTGGTATCTCCCACTTGACCACGGCAAACCAAATTAGCAAGACTCTCTTGCTGTCTTTTGCCAGTGATGTGGCACACAATGCAGAACTGTGCTGGGTTTCTTTTCTTCATGTCATCTTGAAATTATACACCTGTAGCTGTGCACTGCAATGCTTCATTACTCACTCAAAAATACTGAGAGTTTATTTACAAACACCAGGTGTTTTTTAAAGGGAGAGTTGAGGTCCTTAATGCGATTCTGGTCTTAGTACTGTCTTACACCTTAGGATTTCATCTCAGCAGGCAACTCCCAAATTAGTGCATACGTGATCTAGCTCCTCTTGCTAGATGAGGACCCCTTCCCCTACCAGTCCCTGCTGTGCAGTTTTGGAACAAGGGACCCACCCCAAGCCTGCCAAATGGGAAACCAAAAGCTGGAACTCCTCCCTGCCAGTTCAGGACAATCACAACCACTGGCATTTAAAAGGCATTTCCCCAATTTCACTGTTGTTTTGTGTTAAGAGCTTCCTACCTGGTAAGATGATGTAGACCCTGAAACTGCAACACTGCCTCTTTGCACAACAGCAGTGTTTATCAATGACAGTATCCAACAAAAATAAAAGGTTTAAATGAGTTGAGAGATCTGTTTTGTTTACTGTAACTAAGTTTCTAAGGGTTTGTCCTTAGTTATGTGGCAATACCAAAAAAAAAAAAATCCAACCAACCCTTGATTTTGGCTTTGTCACAGTCTGTTTTCCATCTGTGCAAAGTACTTCAGTGAGTGTGTAAAAAAGGCAGTCAACAGCCAGCTGCTACCTCCTGTGTAGTACAGACTGCTGCGATGACCGTGACGCTTTCCTCGTAGCACAGGAATCTTCCAGGTGTGATTGAGGCAGAACAAAAATGCTGCTCGAGAGCGTATGGAGCAAGTGTAAGGCAGTGTAGGTTTGTTGGGTGTTTTATTGCTTAGATAGCCATTTCAAACAAACAGATACTTCATTAACATGGATTTGGGATATTTTTACTGTCACACATCTACAGTATTTCAACGTGCAGAAGGAATTGTTCATTCTTACTCCATTCTTTCCTCCTGCATTTGGCCGAGTAGCTCAGGCCTGATGAACAACAAACTCCTCCATCAGTGCGTATAAACTTTGGTGATATCAACGCATTTCCCTTCAGGAGGATCGTAGCCAGGAAGCGGTGGGGTATAATTAGGTCCCTCTCTCTCAAAGGGGAAAAGCCCCTCATCTCGTCGGATTGCTGCCTGATACAGCTCCTCGGATTCAAGGCGCAGTTCCTTGAGTGCCTCTTGTTGAGCTTCTACGAGGCTCCGAATCGCTTGCTTTTCTGCCTTATCTTGTTTCTGCTTAAACAAACACCACTTTTTCATAAGTAAAACTCTTCTTTCAGTCTCCTCATATGACAGAGGGGGAAGACTTCTCACCCTGATAAAGAAAAGGTAACGCTAATCCCAAAATAGTCTGTACACCAAAGAGCAAATTAAAACAAACATACGTGACACACAAACCCCCACCAAACCCGAAGGGTACATTTAAGGGTTTTCTACAGTCATTCTAACAGGAAATTCACGTTACTATTTTTTCGTTACTTTTAGGAGGAGCAAATAAAATACGTTTTCCACATCTTTGTTCTGGTAGAAGTAGGTAAGATTTTGTACCAGGGCTGGCAGTCCGCTGCACTTCTGCAGAGCAAGAAACCGGAAGCGTTTCGACCGCGAACGCAAACGCTCGGTGACAGACGGTCTGACTTACCTGTTGCTGTCAGAGTACTTAAGTGGCGTTATAAAATCCTCAATTGGAATCATTTCTGGGGCGGCTCTTTCCAGCTTCTTAATCTTCTTTTTCATACGATCTTTTTGTGCTTGCTCTCTCTTTACATCCACTTTCTTCTTCTTCTTTGGTTGTGCTCTACAAGGGAAGTACACCAATGAAAGAAGCTGTTTTGTCACTTAATCACTGGCAACTTCCACTTTTCTAAGGACTGTTCCTTCCCACTGGTTAATTTGGTCCCTAACACGTTCCAGCCGTTAGCTTTGTTCAAGTAATGGTGTTTCCAGGAGACGGTAATAGGTCTTGTGTGAGATTTTCTGCAAAAACAACTGTACCTGCCTGAGAAAAACAACCTCCAGTTTTGTGTTGAACTTCAGAATGACCCGAGAAGTTCCACAAAAACTGACTTGGAATCGTTCCGCACCTGCTCAGCACGCAGCAGAGCAGGTAACGGGTTTATCTGCAAATACTCCTGTCACCCCCCGTTAAAGAGCAGAGTAAGGTGTTCTGTGCATGCTTTTACAATCTCCACATTTGGCACCAAACGCAAGGTGCACGTGTTACTCTCCTGCTGCACTTTCTGTAGATCCGCAATATGCAAGGTCACGCACCCCACGCTCCACAAACACAACTCAGGGTTACAGGGCACCTCTGGGACATCAATTCCTGCCCTGCAGATTGAGTGACTTTCAGGGTGTGAAACAGTTTGGTGGTACCTAACAGCTACCAGGTTATTTCACATCTGGTGGCATCAAAACAGAACATGGGCACCAAGATGTAGCAGAGTGTGAACGCAGGCTGCCTCGCGTACCGCTGCGTGGGTCCACTGGGCTTTCATTTCCACTGCTGCTCCAAGGGGAATTCTGGAGCGCAGCTTAAATCCAAACTTCTCCGGCCACAAATACAACCACACGCAAGCGTAAGGTGCTAACTGTGTAGGTTACCATTAAATGCTCCTCCAGAGGCCAACTGTCCTTGGCTCCTTTTACGCAGAACGACTTAAAAGCGAGCATCCATAGTTAAAGGTTAGTTTGGAGTTGGGAAAATTGGGGGAACGCAGAGGATGGGAACACTTCTGCAGAAGTGATGGCGGTGGCACTCACCTCATGGGCAGGGATGCCCGGAATGCCAGCAGTGAAGTCTGCCAATGGCTTCCTCGGAACGGAACTGCCTGGGGCAAGCAGGAACTTGGGAAGGAAAAGGAAGATAATGCACGAGGAGAAACTGCCTGTAATGATGTGGATTCTACAAAATGTAAAAGCTGTCAGTCATAAATTAGGACAAGTTCCGAATCGTCTGCGGTTACTTCATTCAGTGTTTGTCCAGGGAGAACCTCAAACCCTTCTGCAAGGCACCTAAACCCGCAGTCTGGGCTGTGGGGTGCTGCAAACCCGCAAGGCACCGAGGGGCGGACAGACACATCTTTATGAACAGGGCTGAGCTGCGACAAGGCCCCTGCGAGGTGCCGATTGCGGCGAAGTAACGCCACCTCCGTCCGGAGCCGGCGGGAGGCGATGCCGACGGGGCGGATGCCGCGAGCGCGAGACCCGAACCGGGTGCTTTCGCCCTGGGGCGG